TTAAAGCACAAGAAACTGGGAGAGATGTCTGTCAATCTGAGACTAAAGCCTCATTTTGTCCTTCTCGGGATTGCCTTCCTTGTCGTTGTTGGATTGGGCCCCTTCTTCCAAACTGACCCCTCGACTGTCTTGCTTGTCACCCTGCGTTTGTCCTGTTCATCCTTCGTGGACCAGTCGGAATTCCGTTTCTCTGCGGCTACGCCTGGTGCCACCTTTTCCATATCAGCCTGTTCTCCGCTATGGTGGCGATCTCGCCCTTTAACAGCCAGTTTCTCAGGAATGTTCTTCTTCTGATCGTGTGCTTTTCCGGTCTGTGCGTCATGGATGAGGATATTTTCCGCCACCTGGCCCGAATCTCGGTCTCCACCATGCTTATCAGAAGAGTCCACATTTCCTCCCTTGACACCTCTGCTCCTTCAATTGTCCGTGTGCATCTGCGTTTCCAGATGACCCAGAGAGCCAGTTTTCTGAGTAGATTGAACCAGACTTCCTTGCTGCCACTGAGATTCCTGGGAGTGTTAGAGAGGAGTAGGATTGTTAGAGGGGAGGTGTTTGGCGGTGGAGATGAAAAGACGGTGGACCAAAGGTACCGAACTTTGTTCCAGATCCAGTTTGCTTCAGGACAGTAGAGGAGGCAATGGGGGATGTCTTCTGTTGTGTTGTTGTTGCACAAGGCCCAGAGTTCTGAGCTTTCTGGGTCTGAGTGTCTCCTTCTTTTGTGGAGCCATTGATTGACCGGGAGGGCTGCGTGTGCTAGGAGCCACTGCATGCTGCGGATTCTGGCTGGCCTAATAAGGAGGTATTTGGTCCAGGGAATGGTGCATGGGGTCGAGGGGTCTAGATTCAGGATGTTCTGCCACTTCTCTTTTAGCCTGGGGTTCGGGTCTGTAGTCTGCAACCCGAGGTCGTAGCCGAATTTCACGTCGTATTCGGAAATTGTTCTTGATTTCCTTCCAGAGCCTTGATTCCACCTCCACTCTTTAGGGTCGAATTCCGGCCTGATTTTTTATTATTATTACTTTTTCTTTTCCCTTTCATTTTTTATCTATTAGAATAAGAAGAAAGAAAGAATAATACAGTCTGTCTTGTCCTGATATGGGGGACAGCTGTATGTTTGCTACCCTATTTTCTTCTCTCAATATCGCACCTTCCTCACACTCGCTACCTTGCCTATCAATCAGCCCACCATCCTAAGACAACCCGGCAAGCAACCTACCATCCCTAAGCAAACCCAGCACAGCCACCGAAGGTAACTGGGCACCAGAAAACAGCACTGGAAAAGGAGACAATCCTAAGGGTCATGGGTCTACCCAGTACTGCCCACTTGCAGAATCGCTGGTCCCTTAAATGTACTAGCCTAGCCTTGACTATCCTAGGGTTATGGGTCTTTAGTACTCTTTACCTACCTAACTCTTCTCTGTGCGGGGAACAGAACCCAAGTTCCTAACTCCTGGCGTGGGCCGGGAAACACCAAATTCCACAACCAACCAGTAAGAGGACAAGCCGACTTTCTCAGTCGGTGAAATCCCGAAAGGGTCGTGGGGAGTCTAATGGATGCCGTGGCGGATCGAACCCATGACCTCCTGTGTACCACTTGCGTGCTCAACCAACTGAGCTAGGCCGCTTGGCCTCCCGGCCTCATTTGATTTTATTATAACAATTTAAAAGTTTAAAGAGTATAGAGATATAAAATTGCAGCTTTGTTAAAAAAAAAAAAAAAAAAAAACCGTAGCAATTCAAATTGTTCAATGCGAAGTTACAAGCGCCACGTGTCTGTTGGAACATCTGTCAGAAGTCTTCAACGTTAAAACTTAAAACCGTATAAAGAGCAGACTAACCCAAGAGCCTAGCTCAGTGGGGACCACACCCATGAACTGTTGAAATACAGACCTGCGTTCGAATCCAGATGATGGAACTTGATGAGTACAACTACTAGTGAATTGCTTGGGGCCGGTCAGCTCAATGATAATATCTCAAGGCCGTCGCCCTTTTAAAAAAAAAGTAATAATAATAAATAAATAAAGAGCAGACTAGGCAGCAAAAGGAAAAAGGAAACAGTTGAGGGAGAAAAGAAGCAAGCAAAATGGTGGGTGAAATAGACAGACAGAATTTTACCTGCGACACATCCGCACAATGCCAGCTTATCTTTCCCCTTACGGTTGGTGGAAGTCTCGCAAGAGACTTTTCAAATGATGGCTGTGAAAGTTTGTTCACTTCGACGCACTTCACCCTCCTGTTCAATTGCCACAGTTGGGTCAAACCAGTGTGAAAACATGTACTTCCTGCGTGAAAACATGTACTCAATAGTTCACCACAGATGAGATGTCGATCCATTTTGTGCATCATCAACCAGGTAATCTTGTCCTGTTATANACTTCCTGCGTGAAAACATGTACTCAATAGTTCACCACAGATGAGATGTCGATCCATTTTGTGCATCATCAACCAGGTAATCTTGTCCTGTTATAAATTACCATCGGGCCTCGTGATAGAGTTTTGGGCGTCATTTTGTTTCAAGTTTAAACAGTAATAAGTACTAATAAGTTATAACCAGAAAAACTTCCGTGCCCGATGCATCATCATCAACTATCCTCGCCAACACCATCATTCAGTGGTTCTGCCACAAAGGTTACCAAATTCGCATGCATCAATAGTAGCAGGCATGTCCAGGAACATTTCACAAACAGCCAGGTACCTCTGCGCAGCATGTCTGGCAAGAATCCCGCTGCCTGTCGTCATCGGGCGAGGGAAGCTTTATATTCTGAGTATGCCATGTGCAGGCGCTGCGCTTTAAGGAAGGAGCAAGGAAGAGACAGAAAGGTGCTGGGAATGATATTTTTCAATTTTTTTTTAAATTTTTGAATTTTTT